CGTGCGCTGCAATGACAGACACAGGTTGAGTAACATCGGTGTCATCGTATGAGAACCCACTGACTGCCATTTCTATCGACATACACAGGTCGCGAGTGACAGTTCTAGAAGATGAAGTCAGTCAGTGCGCAAAATGATAATCACATTGTTCCACGTACCTTGCAGAGCCTTTTCTGTGTTCCTCCCCCTGCCTGGTATTGTGCGCTGCAACGCTGGCCACAGAAGTCGTGCGCTGAGCGCGATAGGGACGGACAGATGTGAGAATGCTACGAAGTCATACAAATACCCACGTACTGCGATTGGCGTCGACATACACCGGGCGTGAGTGGCAATTCTGTAAATTGTACAAGTTCAGAGACGTATTGAACGCCGTGAAATACACCGCGGCTCCATGCACCTTGCAAAGCTTCGCGCCGCCTACACTAGGACTGTGTCCATTGGACTGTTGCATAGCGTCCCTATGCTTCTGTGAGCAGAAAGGGGAGTACGAGCCATCAGGATTCTGCCATGTGCCTTTGTGACAGCCAGGATAGCGACAGGTTGCGTTTTGCGCGGGCAATATTTGGGCACACATAGCCAGCCTGGTCTGTCGGTGATCGAGGAAGACCTTCTCGCGCCGAGCTTGAAGGCGTAGGGCTTGCACTTATATGTAGGGCGCACAAAGAATACGCCCGTACAACATATGTTAGAAGGGACTTACGAGACTGCTGATATAACTTATGAGTTCGAACACAGATCGACCTCTTCAAGGTTGGACTTCACGTCGACAGTCTTTTCTGGACCAGACAGTGGGCGTCTCATTCATCCAACACGCCTTCGAAACTCTATCCTGTGATCGCCGCGCTCATGTGTTCAGATTGAACGTGTATCTGGACCACAATTCCCTTCGTCGCCCACCGCCGATCCCATGTTTGACTTCTTTGGGTCTTATCGATGCAGATGCCAGAACACACGATGGAGGGCAATTGCAATGTACATGAGGACGGCGATCACGAGAAGTTTTGGGGTCCCTCCGGTCACATAGATAACGTATGCGCCATATTAATGTCTGGTGAAACCGCCCGGGTATGCTTCAGCGAACGGAGGACACAACTAAGGATGAGATCTACCCCACGTTCCTTACTCGCCCGTAGCCTCAGCTCGAGTGTGGACACCCCTGAACTGACAGCGACATCAGAGGCGCACTAGCCCTCATTACGTGTCGTTCGGCTTCCGCCTCGAGCTCTCACCGATGTCAGTGGCTGCCTTCGAAATACCTCCAGGGAACACACAGCCAATCGAGCCAGTAAGTCCTGTCTGTGTCACACCGACGTCGACTGGGGACCGCGCTGGGAAACAGAGAATCGACATTTATCAATCGGGGTGAATCGCTTCATCGCTTCAGGGGACCCTAGATATCTCATTGAATAAAACCGACAAGGTACCAGAAGAGAAAGCGTACCGTTGAGATAGGGCAGCTGCCAGCAGTACCCGAGTGGCGGTGGCACGAGTCGGCGACAACTCCGGGTGCTGCGTTGAGGAGAGAAGTGGGAACGCGTGTCAAGAACCTTCGCACGTATGTCCCGCACCAAACTCAAAGACGAATACCTCTATTGAACTTTGTTGCCTCGCTGAAGATTCCGCGAGGCTGCCCGACTTCAGAGGTACTTATCAACCATGGCGCGTTGCATGGGTCAGACCACGCACCCATCGTGCGACGTCAAAGCGAGCGGTCGCAGGCACATGTCTTCCTGGAGTCATATTGAGTGGCCCATTAAGCATGCGCCATACGTACTCACCAAACGAGCTTGTGCTAGCTGTCAAGGAAGGACTTGTAGTGGCCTACTGATGCCTCTCGTGCGATGCCGCAAGGGCTGTCTACTTCTTGAGCATGAGCAGATACAGGCGACGGTCGATCGTATGTTCTTCCTCGGCTCATCTGTGCGCTCGTCGACTCAGAAAATGGCGATTGCCCTTCTGAGCGAGCTGTTCGGTTCGGCGGAGGAGACGTCCATATGAACTGGTCACCTGCGGAAGCTGGACAAGCTCTTAGCCTAGCGTGCGGTCGCATCGGCGCCTTCCTAGCTCAAGGACACATCCCCAGAACGAGTCAACGTGGTGGAGTAATCAGCGTCCGGACGACGCCAGTGACGCGCGAGCGACGCTCTTGCGTACGTACCGGCTGTCTTCGATCAGCTGGTTGTTGCCGGTCTTGAAGAGCATGCCACGCAGCGACAGGTGCTGCGCGAACTTCGCCTCGAGGACATCGTCCATTCCCCGGATGTTGACGTCGAACCAGTCCGCGCACTGCAGCCCGCACAAGTTCCCCGCTTCCTGAAGAGCGTCGCGGGATCGGGGAGCAGGTGGATGCACTCCGCCAGGTCCGGCTGGTCTGGCACGAATTTGTGTGCCTGGAACATTGGGTAGGACACACGCCGCCGTAAGCGCACTTGCTGGTAGACAGCCGCAGAGAATTCACCACGCAGGGTTCAGCGCGTGACGTGTTGAGATACCTTCGAGTGGACTTGGATGGTGACTGGTGACCAACAAGGCATCGTCTGCGTACTTATGGACGAGATAACACAATCGCGGACAAGTACTGAAATGAAAAGGTTAAGGGTGGGCACATAGACCTACAGCGGTAAATACCTCGCACAGTAGGCATCCAGCAAATCTCCGCACCTCCTCTACGCCCCCGCATAACCAAGCCATTCCTCCTCACCTCCAGCATGTCATTGGAAGCTGCTGCAGGGACAGCTCTCGCTATGGGCCTATTGCTTTGTTACAAGCACGGAATATCCTGATAATAGGGGTCGAGCATCGTATCCTCTGCGCAAAATGGTCTTCGGATCCTCGCGTGGACAAGCACCAGGAAAAGCAATCGTATGCCTTAATATGCGGCTGCCCTCGTATCGCTGTGGTTTATTGTCACGGACTAGTATTGGACTGGTATCTGTCGAAACGCATCAGTAAATATCCATGCATATATGCCTGGAAGACCTACGTATGGTTCAGCAGTCATGGCATGATGAGTACGACCCACGAGGATTCAGCCACATAAGTGGTCCGCGCGTGATGTGCCGGGTCACTTTCTTGCGGGCCAGGATAGGGAGCCAATACAACGGCTTCCGTGTATGCATGCACGAGGCTTATGTTCCGACCACAGACACTGATATTGATAAGGTTAATAGTAGGCAAGAAGAGTCGCAGCGTCACCTATTCTCCGCACGCCATCCACGCCCCCAGGTAAGCCACCTCTTCTGACCTCCATCATGTCACTGGAAGCTGCTGCAGCGACACTCCTTGTTACTATGTTTATCGTGTTTTGGATTGTCCCGTGCGTGGAGCGGCCAGACCACCAGGATCGACTATGGCACCGTCGGCGCAGAACGACCTCAGAACCTCGGAGACACCACCAAGAAGAGCGATCATACAATCTCAGGAATGTGGGCGTATCAGACCCGCCAGGTGAGCGTTGTTGCGAGGGCTAGACGTCGATGTTCAAGCAGGTCGTCTTGTCGGCGAAGTGGTTCCCTCGACACCGTCGTCGCGCCACCGGACGCGCCGGCGCTCTCGCGCCCAGCCACCTCCTTCGGACTCGGCACCGTATCCCATTCTTTTCTACCACCGTCGTGATCCATACTACGAGTGCGTATCGTTGAAGCTATGGCTAAGCTGCCCACCAAGACTCATGCACTCTGTCTGTCAGATTTACGAACTTCGCCCCATGGGACATTCGCTGGCGCGATGGTAACACATACCCGACCGCAGAGCACCGTACGTCTTCTGCGACCGCCTGCATTGTATCCAACCCGGCCACTGATGCATGATGCATGACACCCAGTGTTCCAAGCGCACAAGTTCATGATCACCCGACCAGACTTGGCCGACCGGATCCGCGGCCTCCCGAGCCCACGCGCCGCACTCGATGAAGCGGGCCGCCTGCGTAGGCTACAACGCACAGACTGGTTTGACGTCAATATCAGTGTCATGGACGCGATTCTCGAGGCGAAGTTCACGCAGCATCCGGAACTGAGAGACATGCTCCTCGGCACGGGGGAGAGCAAACTTATCGAGGACAGTCCGGTGTGTGTCTTGCGCGCAGTGCGATACGGTGCTTTGGTGTTCATACAGTGAACAGGTCGACTCCTTTTGGGGCTGGGGCCATGATGGTCGGGGACGAAATGAGCTCGGAAAGGCTCTCATGCGATTGCGCGCCAAGCTACGCAGTAGTCATTGAGGCCTGGAATAATCTGTGCTATTGGTTTGTGTCTGAGCATCTGTTTATCATCGACCTCGTTTATAATTGTATCTTTTGTATCTGAAGCGATAGCAGCTATCTCACGGGTTGCCACGCTTAGAACGCGTCACTCGTATGATCGTACACAATTCAGGTTCGTACGTAGGTTTCTTTGCACCCGTCCCTGCGACTACAGGCCCGCGTACGGGATTGGCTTGCCATGAAGCTCGGCAACTCCCTTGTCATTTACGCACGAACTATGGCTCAACTCCTTGATAGATTCTGACGGACAAGAAGGCCTACGGTGAACACCGTCTCCAGAGACGACGAGATCCCCTTCATGACCCACCTTCAGCACGCCGTTACAGTCGAAGCCCAGGCATAGTAATGAGTCGCACCTCGGGTCGTCCTCCAAAGCCTTCAGACTCACAACCTCCCACAACGCATGGTGTCGGAGAGATAGCATAGGGGTGGACGGAGGCAAGCGACCGTCTAACAGATCAGGAAGGCATTATGATCTCGTATAAGGTATTGTACAGAAGGGAAATGAGCACACGTTGAAGCGACAAATGTCCGTTGAGCTGCTTTTTGAATTTGTGCTACGGATCATAGTCTCGGGGCGTCGAGGTTTGCAGCTCAACAACAGCTATAACGATTGCGACCTGCGCCTCAGGGATCATCGATGGTACAAGCCTCTGCCAATCACAGCACTCAAGTTGATGCTGCGATTCAGAATAACTTGACGTCGAATATATAGCCATTGTGCGTGGGCAGCGGACTTGACCGTTCCCTGCAGTGAGGTCGTCACCATTGAGTTAGTACTGGACCGAACTAGCTAACGATGATACGCAAGTGTAGACTCGACGAAGAAGTGTCACGACATCGATCTATGAGCTGCAGACCTACATACACCGTGCCATGCCAGTGCCAAGGAACCAGTTCATACAAAGCCAAGATTGACAAACTAGAGCTGGGAGATGACAGAATACGGGACCCTGATAGAGCTATACGGAAGCGAAGCGAATGCAATTGTGAAAATCAGCCATTGTAGATGATCAAGAACAGTGGCCTAATGGCGTCGTTCTGCCATAGCATGTAGAGTCAGAGCGAGTCGTCACCGACGTGTAGAAGCTCACCCTGTAGACTACAAGGACATTGTACATCTCCGCATCAACGCACGTGGATTGTGGATAGCGGCGAAGTACTCACCAACAGCTTCATCATAATCCAATCTACCGCTGGCAGGCTCGCCGATGACAGAATTGTAGCCGTGCGGTGGCTAAGGAATATCGGTATCACGCAAAGCCTGAGGCTGCGTCAGCATCAGAGTATTGCATACGCACCTCGGTCAAGGATGTGCTTGAGTTCGTCATCTTGATCGTCTTACCCAACACAACGTCGTTGAGCAACATCGCCTTGTACGGTGAGCCGCCTAAATTCTTGACATAGGCGTTCGAATTCGACGATGTTGCAGAAGTGTATATCCCTGGGCCAAATACACCCACGTTGCCTTTGTGGAAGGAGAACTGTCGCACTACCGTCAGCGCGAGTGAGACGACGAGGTATAAAACAAGACACGACGAACCTCAATTATCCTGCAAATTGAACACTTGGCATCTTTGCAAAGAGCACCCTTGTTCTCAGAGTCGCCGATCGTGCAGGTTCGGGTCGTGCCGTGCCACCTCCGCCTACTATTTCCCCCGGTAATGTGGGTGTTACGTTCGACATGACGCTTATACGACATAAACGCGTCAGTGTGGGACTTATGGCAGTAGACCTTCCATATCTATTGAAGACATTCATTGAGCAATCGTCTTTGGACAGCCTGAAAATGTAGACACCCGCCTTGACTATGGCAGGTTTGGTCGTGGAGTGCTTCCATTGATCGGTGAACTGCTTCGAGACTGCAAATAAAGAAGGGCAAGTCGACAAGGCGTCGTGCCAAGATCACGAAAGGGATTTACCGTCTTGGAAGGATGCCATGTCCGGGCTTATGTTCAAAATGACAGGAGCTGCCAAAGACCGTCAGTGCGGTGCGATCGGAAAGTCTATGACAACGAAACGCCTCACTCGAGCCAAATGTATCGTCCTTGCAGCGGTTGGAGCAGAAGTCGCTCATCTTCCCGTTAATGATGACCTTGGGCCGCTGCCGGCACCTAAAGACGCCGTGGGCAATGAGCACCACGTCCACGGTGCACTGGTAAGCATGAGACAATTACAGGAGACACAACTCCACGCCCTGGCTATATGACCGAATGTTCAATGTTACAGATCATTAGTGTGTTATGGCTTCTTACGCGTGATGCGACCTAGAACAGTAGTCACTTGGCTTGCCGTTAGGCCCTACGTAGACCGGTTTCTGGCATCCCGGGAGCTTGCAGATGCCGGCGCGGACAATCCCTTGGGCTCCTCTGATACCTCCCTGGAAGGCATCATGGCAACGATTGCCACAAAATTCGTGCACTACGTCACAGACATCGTTTGAGCGACTCCGGCGTGGAATTATATGACACCCCACATACTGCGATTAGCGTCGACATACACCGGGCGCAAATGACAATTCTATTATATAGTGAGGTTCAAAGACGTTTTGAACACCGTGAAAGGAATACATCGGAGCTCCACGCACCTTGCAGAGCTTCGCGCCGCCTACGCTGGGGCTGGGCCCATTGGATTGTTGCATGGTATCCCTATGTTTCTTGGAGCAGAAGGAGGAATACGAGCCGTCAGGATTCTGCCACGCGCCTTTGTGACAGCCAGGATAGCAACAGGTTGCGTTCGGCGTATATGATCTATGGGCAGACATAATGAGCCTCGTGTGTCAGTGCCGAGAGGAGACTTCCTCGCACTGAGCAATACGCAAGGCCTTCACTTATATGTAAGACGTGAAATGAAGAGGCTCGCACAAGGTTCGTAAAGACTTACTGCTGACATGATGCAGACGTGGTTCTACCTATTGTTGATGGTCGCTGCCTGATCAGTCACAGCGAGCATCTCATTAAGCCCTTGACCACATACCTTCGGATCTCGGTCTTGCGGTCTGCACGCTCTGCAACCAGCGTGCATCTCGACCGCAACTCTCCTCATCGCCCAATGCCAGTGCTATACTTGACTGTTCCAATACAGTTGTTGATCGTATCGATGTAGAAGCTGTGGAACATGAGTACAGTGCGGTTGTGACGTACACGAGGACGGCGATCAATAGAAAGAGGGGTTGCCTCGTCCACACAGGCTACACGCGCGCGCTACCAATGTCTGTCGCGTCGCAGGCTGTCTACTCGCATGATCCTGTGCGGATGCAGGCGATGGTCGATCGTACTCGAACGTTATGTATGACCGATTGCGTGCGCAGACCTCGAGACAATGCACAGCGCGCATTCTCCCGTCTCTAGCATTGATCTTAGGTTGGTTCAGCAACCTGCGCACCGTGCGGATCATGTTGCGATCCGAGGGTGCCGCGCGACGGATTACTCGAAGCAGTTTTGAAGGTTGTATACGCCAGGAAACTACGAGCGGCGGCGCTAACACTGTATACATATTGCGAGTGCGACTTGTTCACGATGATTCATGCACAATAGGTTCATCGTCATCAAGTCACAAAATTGGTGGTTTGATGGTGCATCAAGAGTCAGCGACCATAGATCACCAGGAAGAGCGGCCGAATTGCTTCATTCTGCAGATATCGTCAACAATTGCAGTAAAGTTCACGTACAATATAACCTCACCTTGTAGACTGAGCGGGAGAGCATGTCGTCGTCAACGCCAGTGGATCACACGGAACAACACTATGTTCTTACCAATGGCTTCATCATCATTTAGGCTTCTTCCCGGCTCGCCGACGACCGAGTCATATCCTGCAGGAGGCTAGATCATACACGGCCTCAGTATGTTTGGCATTGTACAATGGTGTATGTTCACCTGCGTGAGCGACGGACTGTCGACGGTCAACTTTATGGCCTTGCCCATCACGACGTCGCTGAGAAGCATCGCCTTGTACGGTGATCCGCCCTGCTCTTGGACGTAGTCGTTTGCCTTCGAGGACGTCGCTGAAGTGTAGATTCCCGCGCCGAATCGACCAAAGTTCGTTCGGTGGCCGAATTTCGCAAGGCGGAACGACGTCTACGAATGGTGCGATGGAACAGACGTCATGATCCGAAATAGAGAAGTCGCATATATGGCACGAACCTTGATTATCCCGCAGAGCGAGCAGACGCTGCTGTTGCATACGGCGGGCTGAATCTCGCTGTCGCCGATCTTACACGCACGGGTCGTTCCGTGCCAACGGCGTTTGCTATTGCCCCCTGGTATCTCACGCGTGCGCTCAACGCTCAGCCGGTATCGCGAGAACTGGTCGTTGTGTTGCTTGTCGCAGAATATCTTCCATATCTGCGTCTCGCTGAGTGACGCTCGTCTCAGCGAGACTAGACGACAAACCCACCTTGATGACAGTAGGGACATGTGTCGGATGCTTCCACTGGCTCCGGAATTGTTTTGACACTGGATATGGTCAGTATACAGACCCGTCCGACAGACACGACGGGTCCGCCATACCGTCTTCGAAGGATTCCATGCTGACATTGATGTGCAGGATAAGTGGAGCTATCAAATATAGGTGAGACCGGGTTATCGGAGACGTGGACAGATGTTCCTCACCGGAATTGAAAGTGATCTTACTACAACGCTTGGAGCAGAAGTCACTTAACTTCCCGTTCAAGGTGACCTTCGGCCACTTCGAGCAACTGCAGGAGCTAATAGTAAATGCATGTACCAATACAGATGAACCACGTGAAGTACGAGAGGCAATTTTCGGCCTTTCCGTTCCGCAGCGCTTCGCTATAGGGATGTAGATGGATGAGAGAGAGATGACATGTTCAAGTTGAGATACTTGCAGGCGATGCGCATTCGTGCAGTATTCACCAGGCACGCCGTTCTGGCCCACAAATGCAGGTTTCCCGCATTGAGGAAGCTTGCAGACAACAGTCGTAGGAGCCGGTGATGCGCGCGGACTTCCGGTGTTCAAACGTTCACTATTCCCTTTTGGGAGGCAGTAACACAACGCATGCCGCAGAAGTCGTGTTCTTGGGGCAAGACATCAATATGGGGTCGGCGATGGTCACTTCGTAGCTCACATACCTTTATTGTTCGCAATATACACTGGCCTTGCTTGACAGTGCTGTACATCGATTTGAGATGACTGGTAAGATGAACACCGATACAGAGGCGATCCCGTACCTTGCAGAGTTTCACAGGATCTTGCACGCCATTCACCTGCCTCATAGCATCTCGATGGCTCGTACCACAGTAGGAGGAATACGATCCATCGGGATCCTGCCAAACACTTTGGCGACAACCAGGATACTGACAAGAGGTATTGTGAGTCCGCGTCGTGTCCGAGCACATCCTTAGACCTCGTGGATGGCGGGTGGAAGAAAGGCGTACAGGCGAATCCTAGCCATAAGTACGGAGAAAAACGAGGAGATTAGGTTTAGTGGATGTCAGCGAAGCCGAGCAGGTTAGGTAGCCGCCCTAGCTGGTTTGTTCGGATGCTGGCCACGCGCCACTGTTCGCCAGAGTCGACCCACCAGAGGTCCACGGCACGTATCTCTCTCTCCTACTCCGCGCGGATGTCCCCTGAGCTTTTGGCTGTGATCGTTGTTGCGATGGTCACATCCACGACAATCTGGTGCTGGCCCTCTCGAGGCCTTCAGGCAGCAATGAGTCAACGAGATCGGGCGCATCCGAGTCAACGTCGCAGTCAGGGAACCACGTCGGCCTCAGCTGAGTCACGTAGACACCGCTCTGAGCGACCGCCCAGTCCCGCGGACATCAATGAGACACAAAGACGAGGTGTGTGGTAGGGGCCAAAGTGGCGAAAACCAATCCTGATCTGGTCTCGCAGACGAACGCGGAGTCGATGAAAGCGAGCGCCTTGTCCCAGTGCGTTCGCTGGCGGTTTCTCCCGAGCCACATTTGCCCTTGCCTGAGGCAAAAGCTACGGTCCCCATCCTCTTCTATCACCGTCACGACCCATATTATGAGTATGTCTTCGTGTTGTATATAAACATACAAAGACGAACTTAACCGACCTTTTCAGATTTACTAACTTCGCCGGGACTCCTGTCCAATGGGATAACAACCGGTACCCGACCGCGGAGCACCGTACGTCCATTCAGATCTAGTGAACAACTATCAGCCCTCTCATTAAGCTATGGATCGCATACAGTTTTCCAAGCTCACAAGTTCATAGACACTCAGCCAGAACTAGCTGAACGAGTCCGCCACCTCCCCAGCGCCCGCGCTGCCCTCCAGGAAGCGGGGCGCTATCGTAAATTCCAGCGCACAAACTGGTTTGATGTCAACGTGGGCGTCATGGACGCGGTCTTGAGGCCAAGTTCACCCAGCATTCGGAGTTGAGAGACATGCTCCTCGGGACGGGTGATGCCGAACTCATTGAGGACAGTCCGGTATGGACCTTGCTCGTGATGACTAGGCCCGACGCTCATCATCTAAACAGGTCGACTCCTTCTGGGGATGTGGACACGATGGTCAAGGAAGGAACGAGCTCGGAAAGGCGCTTATGCGGCTGCGCGACAAGATGCGGCGTGACCATTGAAGTTTGGGAGCACCTGTGCAGTTAGTCTGTGTTTGAGCATCTGTAGTACATACAAGATCTCGTTCATATTCGTGTCTCTTTGAGTCCGGAGCTATAGTAGCTGCCCGACGGGCTGCAACCCTTTGAACGCACCACCCACACGGTCGTACACGAGCTGGCCTCGTACGTAGGTCTTCTGCACTCGTCCCTGCAGCTTCAGGCCCTCGTACGGGGTGAGCTTATTCTTGAAGTTCAACGACTCCCTTGTCACCTGCGCACGACAATCAGCTTCCCGACGAAGTCCCACTGGAAAAGACGGCCTACCGTGAACTCCTCCTTCGGATCCCAGACGATCAGATCCGCGTCGTACCCCACCTCAAGCGCGCCCTTCCTCCCGGCCAAACCCGCATGCTTCGCCGTTCTCACCGCGCACCACTCTATGATCCTCTCGATCCCCACGCCGTGGTTCTTCCCCTCCGTCCACAACAAACTCAACCCCAGCCCGAGCGTACTGATACCGCCCCACGCCTTCATGATGTCCCCGTCCTCCAACCTTTTCAGACTCGCAACGCACGGGCTGTGGTCGCTCACGACACAGTCGATTGTACCCTCTAGCAGCGCATCCCACAGCGCGGCGCGGTTTCCCTCTTCGCGCACGGGTGGGCAGCACTTGAACTCGGGGCGGCCGGCGGGGATCTGCTCTGCGTTTAGACAGAGGTAGTGAAAGCATGTCTCGACCGTGAGTGGGAGGCCCGACGCTTTGGCAGCGCGGATTAGCGGGAGCGCGGAGGCGGCGGAGAGGTGGACGATGTGTAGCCGGAGGGAGGGGTATTGCTTCTGGAGGGTCGTGATGAGCGCGATGGCGTCGACTTCGAGCTGCTGAGGGCGCGACGTGAGGAACGTGTTGTACTCCGTTGGATCTGTGGTGGGGGCGGGATGGCTGTGTTTGTCGAGCTCGGCGTGAAAGCAGAGGACGGTGGGTGTGTCCTGTGTGCGGTATGTCATTATAAAAGTGCGGGTCATGGCTCGCGGAATGGACACACTCTCAGTTGGTCCATGGCGAGTCGGAGATCCGTCTCATTCACACACGGGAATTCCTGCCAAGGCATGAGAGGGCGGAGTGCGGTGGACTAGTAACAGAACATACGTCCACACCGCTCTCGATCAGGAAGCACTTGAAGCCTTTCACACCAGCATCAATCAGCGGTCGCAAATGAGCCTGCCGTGCTGCTCCCGTGAGCAGACATGCTCGGTAGGATGGAAGGTCGGACGCCTTACCTGGTTTCCGGGAATCACACCGCCCCAGAAGGCGACATCCGTCCAGCACTGACCCTTCGCAGCCGCACGTTTCTCCTCGAGGTTCGCCGCCGTCGTGGTCGGTGGGATGGAATTCAAAGGCATATCCACGACTGTCGTGACACCGCCAGACGCCGCAGCACGCGTGCCCGTCCAGAATCCTTCCCAGTCCGTCCGGCCTGGCTCATTGAGATGGACGTGGGCGCTGGTACCGGCTTCATGAGCTGTGTGCAGATTTCCGGGTGGAAAAGACCCACTCTACGAGACCTGGGAGAATGTACTTGTCTCCAGCATCGATCCAGTTGGCGTCCTCCACGTCTGGAAAGCTCGCCCGGTCGCGTACATCGTCATAGACTTCAGTGATCTTGCCTGTCGCGGCGTCTACGACGACGGTGGCCGGCTTCAAGCTACCGTGGACAAAAACGTTCTTCCCGGCACATACGCGTTGAGAGGCCATCGTAGCGAATGGGTCGACGAAAAGACGAGACAGCAAAGCCTGGCGGAGTGACTGGCGGGCGACTGGTAGAGGCCCGATGTGGCTGAGGTGGCGGATGTGGCTGAAAACTTGTGACGGGCGAGATCGGATCGCGCTCATGTGGATATATGCGGTAATAGCCATCAACTCATGCAGAACTTGCAAAGGGCGCTTAGCACTACTCACATCTTTGCGTTCGACGTGTCACTGACAATATTCCTTCGAATCTGCTGCTGCTGCTATTCTAAGGCGCCTGAACTTCACATTCTATCTGTGCGCACTTAGGGAGATGGAGGGCCATCTTTGATCTCTCGCGCAGTTCCTTGGTATCCTTCGTTTCCATTTGTCTCTGGTAACTTACGTCCGCGTTGACCTTCAGGAGAGGCTGTTATCTGTCGCCTTTCCGCATCCGTAACTCCCCTTGTCTCTATCGCACTCATGGTTCTTACCTTCGAGAATCGACTCAGACGTGCCATCGGCTATGTACAGTCTGATAGAAGTATATCGTTCTCATCGTTCACGCGCGCATGCGCTACGCTAACCAGACTGATATCCGTAAGTACTCTAGTACCCGGTCCATACGATACGATAAACGTACTCATGAGCCCGATGGTTTATAGACGAAAGAAGCCGCCTATAGCCATCGAAGCGACGCGAGGTCAGACTGCCAGCTGTACATGTGAGCAATTTGCGGGCCTATGCACTGTACCTCCGCCCCCTCCACATTATTCATTACAGATCCGAGAGGCGTTGGACCGACAGTCGAGCCCTCAATTTCTGGATAATGATCGGCGCTCGTCAGAACTCGCGAGTAGCTCAGAGGTTCTGCCAAGGCCACCCTTCATTACACGTTACCGTCTCTGGATGAGCCAATTCCTTGGCTAGGACAGCACGGTCGACGGGCGCAAAGTGGATGTTATGAAATTTGCGCCGCCACGATGCACGAGCGGTCCCAGCATCACGCAACGTTACGCGGCTCGCCCATCATGCTCTTGACGAACTGAGGTGTGTTGTAGTGCGGTGCGTAGGCTTCAGATCGGCGAAGCGACTCTCGACTCGCGCTGAACTGCGATATTTCAAGGTTTCGGTCTGCTGGAAAGAGGATCTTGCCGTGTCCGACCTGACTTGTGAGTGCATCTGTTTCACAGCGAAGGTCAAGCGACAGACAAGCTGTAGTACTGCGCGATATTTCCATGTTCCTTCGACCCTGCACTCTTCACACCAAGTGAGTGTCAGTTTCGGCATTCTTACCGACTGGATTTGGATGTGTGATCCATAAGAGTACATCATAGTTGCGTCTCCGTTGCCAAGACGGGACCGGTCATCGTATGAGGAAGCTCCACTCGTTCCCGCTATCATTATGGACATGCCTCTGGTCGTTGGCCTTGCCCTCTGGTGGTTATCGGTGAGTACAAGTAGATTCCAATTCCGGTGCTTCACGCCGTCAGTGCGTTTGTGTTGCTGAATGTTGCTATGAAGGGTCAAGACAATGGGGATGAATGGTATGGTATCGAAATGCTACCGAGATTCACTGACAGTGTTATCATCGACTGGCCTACAATTTGAGCATCTCGACGGCTCCTGCAGACTTAAGA